GTGAGTTGCCTTCTATAAGGCTCCTACAACGGTAACTACCCACCTGAAAATGTCCTAGATGTAGTGTTCCCCCTAAACCCTGGCCGTCGACCCCAGGACTCTCCTAAGCCTTGTTATGACTGACTGGCTCTTAGTAGGGAATGGAGGAATGGGATTTTTGGGACTACTATAGGGTACCTTAGGGGACTATCCCTAAACCCTAAACTCCTAAACTCCTAAACTCCTAAACTCCTAAACCCTAAACTCCTAAACTCCTAAACCCTAAACCCCAGACCTATCATAGGGATCCATTCCCTCATTCTCTACTAAGAACCAGGGAGATGAGGTGCTAAGCGAACCCAACTCCTCCAGGCTGGACGACTCTGCGTCGCAAGGCCCGCTGTCTTGCACAGGGTCTACCTTAACCCCAAAGAACCGACCTTGTTAAGGACGTATATAAAGAAACTCTACTGAGGAACCCGAAAAAGGTAGGTTATTTGGGGTCCAGGTAGGGTGTAGGGAGTTGGACACTTGCTTGTTTTCGGGAGGCTCTTCATCCATAGACTCTTGACTGTTCAGAAGAAGTCGTACTCGTACTCGGAACATGCCTGTCGGGGTTGTTGGGCAACTTTTTGGATATCTTCCTTTGGGGCCCCAGATGTTTCATTTCCAGTCACAATGAAAAACTGTGTGCCCGAAGATCAGTTCATGCCTTCACCGGTCACTGGCCACAAGACAATCGTCCCCAAACCCCGACCCTCAATCCTCAGGAAAAGCAGGCTTCATACAGAAAGAGCTTGTAGTGTCTAGGCGCAGGTGAAACTAGAATCTGACCTAGAATGCAAGATGCGCATTATGAGTCGCACCTTGAGAAAAACATAAACGGAGTTCGAGGTGTAGCATCGGTACAAAAAGTTTGCAAGCAGTATTGCTCAACTGTACTTCATGAAACACAAGAGCAGGTATCATTCATAGCAGCAGTATCAGTAGCAACATTGCTACGCTGCCACGGCGACGACGACGACTAGTACGAATCCCGCTGCTGGCTTTCAGCCTCCTGCTCCTGCTCCTTAAACCCTGGATCCTAAACCCTAAACCCACCGCCACCACCACCACCATCATCACCACCAGCACCACAATCACCACGACGACCACTACAGGTTCTTGTATTTGTGTCTTGCTTTGCCTTAAATACCATACTTGTGTTTTCGGATTCGTGCGCACCAGCCCTAGACACCGAACCCTAACCCCACGAACCTGAAACCCAAAGCCCTCAGTCCTAAATCCTAAACCCCAAGCCCCGTAACCCCCTTGTCCTAAACCCTAAACCCCAAGCCCTGTAAGTCCTTTGTCCTAAACCCTAAACTTCAAGCCCTGTAAGCCCTAAGTCCGGAAACCCTAAACACTAACCCCTAAACCCTAAACCCCTAAACAAAACCCCAAACCCTTAACCCTAAACCCTAAATCCCTAAAACCCAAACCCTTATAGATCCCTTATAGATCCCTTCAAAGGAACCATTAAGTCCGGAAACCCTAAACCTTGAATCCCAAAGCCAGTCGTCAAGGCTGCGGGTCTTTCTGTTCTTACCGTAGGGTTCAGGTGTCCCGATGATCGGATCGAGGGTCCGCGGCCCTAAACCCTAAACCCTAAACCTTAGACCCTAAACCATAAACCCTAAACTCTAAACCCTAAACCCGAAACTCTAAACCCAAAACCCTAAACCCTAAACCGACGTTGGCACCGCAGCATCCGGCTCGCGAAGAGGCTAGAAGCCGCGCAGTCGCCATGGGCTGTGGTGCAAGTGCTGGTGCAGTGTCCAACCGTGTTCAGGTGGGTGCTTTTTCAAAGTCAGAAGCTTTCGTTGATAAGGATCTTGCTGCCAGTCTGTGAGGGGTTGTTTATGGGCTCTGGTTGTCGCGCGCGCGGAGGTGGTTCCGATGCCCGGGGGCAACCCGGCTTGCATGGTGATCAGCCAGGACCCAAAGCGGAGTGCCAGCACCGTAGCATCATAATCATGATTATTGTTACCATCTCCGTGGTCATTGCTACTACATTTATATGTGATTCTTCATGATCAGGGTCATGACCTTGGTCATTAGCATGACCATGGTCCTGGTCGTGATGGCCATTGCCGTGATGAATACCACTGTCATTATCACATACATCTTCTTTAACATAACATGATCATGATTGTGGCCATTATCATTAACAGGGTCATGACAATGACAATGGGAATGATCATGCTCATGGCCATCAGCATGATCATTCCCGTTGTCATTATCAGTAAAGTTCCCAGTATCAGTATCGGCTTCAATTTCATTACCATCCTCGTCACCATGTTCATATTCAATATCAGCATCAGTATCATCTTCCGTATCATTACCATGACCACAATCAGTTTCAGGACCGTTGCCTTTGTCATTTTGCAGTGTTCATCTTCATTGTTACTGCCATTATCATGTTCGCTGTCATGGTCATGATCATTTTCCTCATCATGTTTTTTTTTATAATGCTCGTTTTCAGTTTCATTCTCGCCGTCAACATCATCATGCCTATCGTTCTTAACACAATCCTCGTGATCAGGATCAGGATCATGATCCAGAGCATGGCCGCGATCATGATCAGAATTGTGATCATTGTCATTGTCGTTACCACTGTCATTACTATTACAAGTTAATTTTTTTTATCATTGCATTTTTGGGCAGTGTCGTCGCGATCAGCAGCATCATGGCACCGGTGGTCATATCCATGGTGATCTAAGCACGCACACACAGAAGCATAGAATAGCCTGGATAATCATCGCTAAAGGGAGCGCTGCTGATAGCAACAGAAGTACAGACGCCGAAATCCGTAGAGCATTCACTACAACCCTCAATTGCCATTCAAAACCTGTGCGGGACGCTGTAAAGTCCTTGTGCAAGCCTGTCAAGCGCTTCTGACACCCTCACACGCGAAATACCCTAAACCCGAAAACCAAAATTATATTGGCCACGTTTGTCAGAGGACTCGACTGAGCCAGAGGACTTCTCAATCACCGGAGGGTACCTTGGTCTTTTAGCAATAGGGTTTAGGGTTTACGTTGTAGGGTTTAGAGTATTTGTGTCCTTTAAATGTATCCGCTCGTGCAGAAGAGTTTCTATCAAGACTTCGCGCGTGAGTGTGCATCTGTTTTTGGTTATGATCTGACTTTAAAGAACTAAGCCCTTAGCAGGCCCCGAACCCTAAACCCTACTCAGCGGGCTCATAGTCCGTGCAGTAGCCTATTGTAGGCCTCATCGTCGCCACACAGAGCCCTTCGAGGATTTTGTAAAAGAAAGTCTTGTGTAAAGTCAGCACCTTATGTAGCCTTATCATATGTCGAGTTTGGCAGGCTTCGGTGTGCGCATGTATCATTTTTGACTGCGGTCTCCGTGCCATGTTGCTTCAAGTGTGACCCAAAATGGCACGCAACCGGAATTGCTTCCTACACCCTCTAAACCCTAAACCCTAAACCCTAAACACTATAAACCCTGAACCCTTAAAGATAACTCTGAACCCTACATCTGACCCCCTACTTCAGGCAAGAAGCCTCTATGGAACCCCTGTTTTCAGCCCTTTCAAAGCCTCCATAGCGGCGACCGATGGAACCCTTCAGAAGCGTTCGGAAACTCCTTTCAAGAAAAAGCCCTAAACTCTTCAAAACCCTAAACCCTAAACCCTAAACCGTTTCATAGAACCCGTAAAGGGGCCTTCAACAAGCAACCTCAAGCCCCCTAAACCCCGAAACTGTAAATGCTTGAGCCCCCCAAGCCCCAGGGCTTAAATCCTAAATCCTGAACCCCTAAACCCTAAACCCTAAACCGAAATATGCCCCCCCCCCAAAAAAAAAAGACAGCCCAGGAATACTCTGATCTGGTCTTCCATGAGTCTCGCAAGTTTGGTGTGCGTTTTTTTGGTAAGGTTCAGAGTTCCGGGTTTAAGGTTCAGGGTTCAGGGTTCATTCAGGGTTTAAGGTTCAGGGTTTAGGGGTTTAGGGTCTCGGGTTTAGGGGTTTAGGGGTTTAGGGGTTTAGGGTCTCGGGTTAGGGCGTTTAGGGCTTAGGGTCACTATGAGTTGCTGTGCGTTCCTCCTTCAAGACACTGTTGGGTCTCCCCGTCCTTTTTACGGACTAGGTTCCCCAGTAGTGCCCTAATGCCCTTTTTATTTGGGGGTCTCCGTATTGAAGCCGAATATTTGGAAAAAGGGTACCCTTATTGTTAAGGGGTTACTGGGGAACCTCGAGGATTTGGGGGGTGACTTTAGGGTTCTACCAGGGTTTGAGGGGCTCTTGAGGGCTGGCATCTTGTCTTCTGGGTGTGTAATAGGGGTCCCCGGCTGAGGATGGTGAGGGCCTTTTAAGGGTTTAGGGTTTAGGGTTTAGGGTTCAGGGTTCAGGGTTTAGGGTTTAGGGTTTAGGTTTATACTGTCACTCTAGGGTATCAGGGGGCCAGAAGAAATGGGACTTTCCGAAAGTTAGGGTACCTTATTTTGGGGCCCTTGTAATAGGGATCCTGCTATTCACGGTACTATACTAGGGTCCCCTATTGCCGGAAACCTCCAAATAGACCACCAGGGGCGTTCTAAACCCTAAATCCTACACCCTAACCCTAAACCTTAAACCCTAAACCCTAAATCCTACACGCTAAACCTTAAACCTTAAACCCTAAACCGTATCAGGGAGCCCAAAAAAATGGAGGCTAGGACTGCTTTTTCAGGCCCCTGTGTTGCAGTCTACGCTGCAGTTCTCGTGTTTTCATCACCGGGTAACCCGCAGAAGCTTGGTTTGGGGTTTAGGGTTTAGGGTTTAGGGTAACCCGCAGAAGCTTGGTTTGGGGTTTTGAGTCGAGCATCCCACCTCCAGATGGACACAGGAAATCCACCTTAATACCTTTGTTTAACCCATGTGAACCTTAGTTGTTAAGGTCATTCAATTGAGCCAAGGAAATCGGACAACTTTCAAGCAAGCGATGAACATGGGCATCCGTCGCCACCCGACCGGCGCATGCACGACCGTCACCTACGGAGGCTCATCGTCGTGTAAGGTGGAATGTGGAACTCCACACCGTGGCTTCCAAACCCTGAAAACCCTCGTTTAGGGTTTAGGGTTTGGGTCATTTAGACTTTGCATTGATCCCTTGTAGTTAGCCTAAGCGGTCATCGTCTGCGCGTAAAGGGTTGATGTGCCGACTGACTCCCTTCCTTGCGCAGAGTACGTACGTCTGCAGATATGCATGTATGCTACAAGAATATATTGTGCTTAAATGTCACTCATACAAGCATTTATAGTGCACACCAGCACGTGTGAACACCTATGAATACATGCACACCTAGTTGCACGATGTCTCATGTGGAGCTAATGCCTGTCTGCAGGAATTGCGGAAGGGATCGCAGATTGCAGCAGCGTTTTCGACAAGTCTTTCGACGCAAGCTTGTTTGGCTGGGAAAACTGAAACACTACTTACTCCTGCCGGCTCCTACTGCTACTGCTTTTTGCTACTGCCGCTATTTATAGTTTTAACAAGAATAAGCGCGAAAATTATGATATCATGATGACGGTGATGATGATGCTGCT